CTGGAGCTTGTGCGACACTGGAGCCCCTCTCTTTTGGAAGGATGTTACCATGAAAAGCAATCAGGGTGAATGTATTCTGGTCTTACCTACCTCTGTATCCAAAGCTAAATCTATCAGCCCTTGTCACTGATAAAATCAGCATGGAGAGATGATCCATATTACTGAGGTGGAAACTTGTTCATCAACTCAGTGCTCCTCAGTATGCTGTGTCCACTCAAGGAGCGTTCTGATCCTCCAGGTAGCAAGGGTGACTGATGAATCACACAGGATACTAGGCTGAGACTAAGTGATCTGGGCTCAGTTTTGAGATGAATGTCCAATGTCCTCTGTAATGCTGGGCAGGTCTTTTCATTTATCAGGTACCTGAATTCCCCATCTTAAAAATAGGATAGCCCTTTTCTACCTCAGAGAGGCGTTGTGTGGTTAAAATTCTTTCAGCACTGTAAGACATTCCAATACTATGGTCCTAGGGGGCCGTATAAAAACTAGACTGCAGCCTACCTCCTGATACACCTTTTCCAGAATGCTGCTCTGGCTCAGCAGTAGAAAATGTGTTAAAATTGAGGACCCTGGTATACATTTAGTTAAAGGTGCCATGGGATCTGATCCATGATCCCAACAATCTCACTTCCTGCTGTGCTGTTGATTGAGGATCAGATCCCCTACGTGCCATTGTCCCTGCAATGGGTAAGTAGGAAGCCAGTCAGCTGATCTCCGCTCCCACCCTCAGAACATATTGGAGTTAAGGGCTCCAGTGATCCCCCAAGGCTGGGAACACTGATCGGCTGACTGTGACTCCCAGCCTCGACACACCAGAGCCCTCGACTCTGATACATCCCTGATGCTGAGACCCCCAATCAGCTGTTGCTCCCCGCCTCTGGACCACAACAGACTCAATGTCTCTGATGTGTCCCCAGGGCTGAGAATAGCAGCTGATTGCAGCTCCGAGCCTTGTGGGCACACTGGAGCCCTTGACTCTGAGGCATCCCCACATCTGGGAGTGGCAGTCAACTAATTGGGGCCCCTAGTCTTAAAAGCACATGAGAACTCTTGACTCTTATGTGCTCCCCAGGATGGAAGCCCCGATCAGCTGATGCCTAGCCACGTGTGCAATTTAAGGCACAATGAGAACTGGCCACAAAGTTATTACACTTATTTTGTGTAATAACTTTGTGGCTTATTCCATGTTTTATTGTGCCATTCATTTCATGAATGTGTGACTTGGTTACTACTTAAGCCGTGTGTGACTGGTTGATCACACCTTAAGCATAACGTTTGCCAGGGGCCTAATATTGCCAGTCTCAGGTGACTAAACTGAGCAGCTTGGTAGACACAGATGTCCAAGGTGTAAGTTGTTTTTGCTTTGTCTCTGCCGGTATTTGTTGTTTTCTGCATCTCCTAGCCCATGTTCTCACACTGCTCTGACTGAACAGCTTGGCTTCAGTTTGCAATTTGCTCCATTAGTCCAGTCTTGGGCTCCAGCCCAAACTCTGTTATGGCTCCTCATTCCTGACCTGGGTCTCTCTTAAGCGGTGACTGCCACCTGTGCAGCGGTTTCATGGTGCATGTAAATATCTGCCAGGGACGTTGTTACTCACCAGAATAATTTAATTTGTGATCCATGATGCATTTGAGCCCAAGTCTGAAAACCTGTGCATTAACCCATTGCACCCAGTGCCTTGTAACAAACCAGTGTTTAAAGCAATCACTACTCAGGGGGAAACAATATTATTACGTATTACTATTTGTCATTGTACTTTCCACTTTATAGCAATTTCAGTTCAAGCATCTCAAAGCCTTATGCAGACTCCAGTGAATTAAACCTTGCCACAGCTTTGTGAAGTAAGGATTAATATTATGGCCACTGCTACTTTGCAAGCAGTGAAACTCAGAAACACAGAAAAATTAAGGTCACATTTTTCAGAAATGGTCACTGATTTTAAATATCCCAACTAGCAGTCATATTGGAAAATGCTGGTCTATGTAGCTTGCCAGAGATCATCTAGGACATCAGTGGCAGGGCTGGCAGGAGAGCCCAGAGAATCTAATACCTTGTCCTAGGCACTAGCCACATAACCATCCTGCCCCGCAATGCGCTAGTATACACCCATACCAGTTCTACCCACTGTATGAAGACAGAGATCATTTTTTTCTAAACTGGCATTGAACCTTAGTCTACTTTGACTCGATAAGCTAGATTTACTGATTTCCTTAAGACCGCTTAAGCTAATAGACCTGGTTAAAATATCCACTGTAACTTCCAGAAGGGAGAAGTAATTAGCCATGTTAGTCTGAAGTGAGGCAGAAGGTAGGGTAGAGATGCATCTTAACTGAATCAGAGATGCATGTGTTTGTGAGCAGGAGCTCACTTCATCAGATATAATCAAATGCTGTCATAACATCTGATAAAGTCAGCTCCTGCTCATGAAAGTTTATGCATCTCTGATTCTGTTAATCTATAATGTGCATCTCTACACTGCCTTCTGCTCAAGAAAGCAAAGCTTTTTAAATTCGCTGCCTTCCATGGAAAATGGGCACATCTACATGTGCAAATGCTGCAAAGTGGGTTTACTCTAGAGAAAGTAACCCAGAGCGAGTTTATGTGTGGATGCTTGCCTGACCACCCCAGGCAAGCATCTACATATGCGGGGATGAAGGAGCAGATTTGCTGCTCCTGCCCCCGCTGGCCCTGCACTGGCCCCCTGCAGCAACCAAGGGGAGTTGTACCCTCCCCCTGGGTGCTAGCCCAGGGGCTGTCAGGGAGCATGGGGCCAGGAGACAGCTGGGAGGTTGCTCCCTGCCCCTGGGAGCTTTGCTGCTTGGGTAGGCTCCATAGTGAAGCCCATGAAGGGGCAGTGTCCCCCTGCCTCAGCAGCAGGGAGCTCCTAGCCCCAGCTCCCCAGTTGGGAGCAGGGGGCTTGGAAAGAGCTGCAGGAGATGGTCTGGGACTTGAACCTCTCCTGCAGCTCTTTCCAAGTCCCATGCTTCAATCACCTGATCGGGGCACAGGGCTGGGACCTGCCCCTGACCAGGACAGTTCCCAGCCAGCCCCAGGCTGCAAGGGGAAGTCTGCACATGCAACCCGGAGCTGGCTGGGGACTGCCTGAAATGAAATAGTCTCCAGCCACCTCCAGGCCACATGCAGACTTCCCCAGGCAACCCAGGGCTGGCTGGGAACTGTCCCAGTCAGGCAGGTCCCAGCCAGCTCCAGGTTAGGTGGGAAAATCTCATGCAGGGAGCTCCCAGCCCCAGTTCCACGATCATGGATTGGGGGCTGGGAGCTTTTTCCCAGCCCCTCTACGCTTGCCGAATGGGGGCTGGGAACTTGTTTTAATTACTTGCAAGTAAATTTGCTACTTGTATTACAGGTAACAAATTTACTCACACCTAGAGTAAATTGCTGTGCAATAAATGTCTGCAGATGTACACAGTAATGCTTACTGCGCAGTAATTTGGTCTAATCTCATGTAAAGCATCTTGTGTAGATGCGCCCAGTTTCTACCTTTCCCCAACTTGATGTGTTTGGCCTTACAAGTATATATCACATTGCTTGAGCTTAACTTGTAGGGCAGTTGGAGTCCCAAACTTATCATGAGTTTGTGGTGACAGTCTTCCTAGAAACACAGTATTGAATCCTCACATCAGGGCATTCCATCTACACATAATGACATTTTATCATGATGCAAGTACTGTACACATAGAGATATCATTGTACATTAATGCAGCATCCTGAAACAATGATACAAATATTATGACACAAAACAGGCACACCAAGCACATAGGACAAATATATGAAGGAGACAGCTTACTACCTACAGGGAAGCATCAGTAGATGCTTTGTACAGGTTTGCATATGTGCTTATTATAGTTTTGTCCCTTCTCTTTTGTCAGGCTGCTTTTAATGAAGCCTATAAAACAAATAACCATTGCTGTACTGTTTAGTAAGTAAAATTATTGCCTGGCATACTCGAGTAACTGACCCTTCTGGGGAACAGTTTCTCAGTCAGGAATCAAACCAGTGGTATAGGGTGCAAGTTGCTATGAGCACAGGTCACCTCATTAGGTAAAGCTGACGCTGCCCATCCTTTCCTCTTTTAAACAAGATGTTGCATTTTAATCTTATGGGTTAGTGACTTTTCTGCCCACTTGAGATGCCAGGAGCAAGTATGAGATTACATTATCTTTAATGATGGTTGCAGGAAAGCAGGGTGATGTGTTAGATGTCTGGGTTTGATTGGTCTGGGGGGACATTTTTAAAAAGCTGAGCCACTTGTGTGTCTGGATTGCCTTTAATTTCGCACACAAGGTGAAGTAAAAATATCTGAGTGAAGGCAATTGAGCTGGAGTTGTGCAGCAGTGGTTTATCATTCTTCACCCCTTTATTCTAGCCCAAAGCCTTTTCTCCTAATCTGGTATGGAGTAGGGACAGATGTTATCTCTGGTGGTGGCAGGAAAAGAATCCTGGTCTGACTTATAAATTACCATGTTTGGGGGCAGGGGGAAGTGGAGAGGGTAATTTTTTTGTATACCAAGTGAGAGAGAGGAGAGCTTCCCAATAAGTATATACAGCTACAGGTCCACCAAAATGGATCTGTTAACTCCAAACAAGGTCCCAGGAACATGATGATCCTCAGAACAAGACCTTGGTCACTTTGAAACTCTTCCAAAGCCTGCAGAAGTCAGTGTCTTTCCACTGATTTTGGTAGGATTTGCTTAATTGGGACAATAATTGTATTCTGAAAGAGATGGATCAGAGACTAAATTGATGTTGCATCTGTCTCTGAAGGTTTTGTCTAAAATATGCTTTAGGATTATTCCACATCCTGAATATAAATCCATCTCAGAAAGAGACTGTGGCAGAAAGAAGGAAGGGGGGTGTTGTTCTGTTCCTTCCAACTCAATTTATGTAAACAGTACCCAGATACCACTATGGTAGACAAAGAAGACATGCACATACTAAATAGTGTTGTATACTTATCTAATTGTTTTTTGCTTTACAGATCACCACATTATGCCTGTCCCGAAGTAATCCGGGTAAGTTACTTTGAAAAATTAATACCTGTGTAAAAATGTGTCACTCATTAAACGTGCAGAAAGTCAGTCTCCACAGCAAAGGACTCTTAAGCCAGTCAACATTGAAGAGGAAATACTTAATATGGCAAACATTTTCTCTCATGTAGTGAGGCCTAGAAGTATGTCGTGCCAGTAGTGGAAAGAGGTGACAATATGTCTGTGTCAGAGGGCACAGTTCACTGAGGAATCCATCCATCACAATCAGATGAACAGCTGGATCTGCGGTGAGCAGTTATTTGGGCCTGAGGTCCACATAGGCAATTTTGATGAGCTGTCACAAGCTGGGTCAGCACCCCCCTCCCCACCATCCCCCCTGTGCAACAGCTCACCAAAACTCCCTATGTGGGATGGGGCCCTAGGCAGTGGTGTTCAGGAGCAGGATGGGCATGTGAGGCCAGGGTCACAGGATGGAGTCACGGGATGGTGACAGTGCAGGGCTGGGGCTGGGTCAGAGCCATGATCTGCTGCCAGCATGCCCCTATGATGGGCTCTGGTTCTTCAGGCAGGAGCATGCAAGGAGCAGATAGCAGCTCTGCTCCGCCCCAGCCCACTGTCACCGGTCCATAATCTAGCCCTGTGATCCTGCCCTCGCCTGTCCATGGAGAGCGACCCTGGATGCAGCGCGCAGCCAGGTGGGGAGCTGCTTCTGGGGCCGTGGCCAGGATCTTGGGGCGGTGACAGCATAGCACTGGGGCAGAGCTGGAAGGTGCCGCCGAGCCTTGCTGAGGGGCCACAACACCCACAAGGGGGAGAGAAGGGCTGCGAGCCCCATGGAGGGGGCTCGAGAGGCCAAGGAGGGGTGGCAGGGGCAGGAAATAGCCATGGGGCAATGCCAGCCCCACCAAGTGGGGGGAACTTAGCCTCCCTTCCCTCACCTGTGCCCTCCCCTGGCCCGAGGTGCATGGCCCGCAAGTTGGGGAAGGAGCGGGGTGGACCCAGTGTCAACTCCACATCACTTGGGGTGGTGACGGTGCTTGCCCCACCACACACTTGTAAGCAGCACCCAGGACTGGGCTGGGGCCAGGTGAGGCAGGGAGCACTGGCCCCCCCCCATCCCGTTCCAGCCTGCCAGCTCGGCTTGGACATAGTGGCATGGAGCGAAGCGGTGCAGGGGCAGTGGAAATGGTGGGAGCCCCAGTGAAGATGCTGCAGCCAGGGCCAGGGGCCAGTCTCTGTGGATACTGGCCAGGAGCCTTGTGGCCAGGCATGCGGCCAGGCAGGGAGCTGCATCCAGGGCTGGGGGCCAGTCTCCATGGAAGTCAGCTGGGAGCACACAGGCAGGGTAGGACCAGCCACATGCACCATGGCCCAGGCTGCCCCCATGCCTGGGTCAGCGGGGCAAAGGGACCCACCACAGGCTGGGCAAAATCACACCATGGGCTGGATCCAGCCCACGGGCCATATTTTGCCCACCCCTGAGCTAGATACACATAATCTTGGTTTGCTTGATTGTTTCCATCCAGTGGGGCCAGCTATGAAATCCCTAAAGACATCACCCTGCCATTACAATCCTTAGCTTCCAGCTGAGGAAAGTGGAACTGGACAGTTGGCACTTCCTTGGCTCACTGTTGAGCAATAGGAAATTCCCATTTTCCCTGTATCCCTTCCTCCCCGAAGGCTGAGCACATGCAGCCTGTAGGCATCTAGAAAAGACCCAATTCCCTTTCCCCTCCAACCCCTACTGATGAGTACCATAACGGTGAAGTTAAAAAAATAAATGAGAAAGGCCAGAAAACATTACAAGTTAGCAAATAATATGACTAATTTCAAGCCCCATTAAGAACCAACCAGGAGAGAAAAAAACTCTTGATATCGTTAAGGGATCTTTGATGAAGAGCTGAATCCAGTTATTTTAGTGGTGTAAGGCCATTCCCAGCCTTCCCATATTGTAGGCCCCATTTTCTCACATTCCCCAAGTCACAGACAAGGGCATATCCTGACTTTCATGAGAAGCCAATGTATGAACCCCCTTGCCTGCTAGTTAGGAACATTTCCTTGGAAGGCAGCTGCTTTGGTCACCACTTCCAGTCCTTCAGTCTTCCTGCCCTGTTCTTCAGGGACATCTAATTTAAGCTCCTATCTTCGTGTTGCACAGGGAGAAAAATACGATGGAAGAAAAGCAGATGTCTGGAGCTGTGGAGTCATTTTGTTCGCATTGTTAGTGGTGAGTCATCATCTTTGCTACAGCCTTTAAAAGAAAAACACAATAAAAATCAACAAGGCTGTTGTATTTAATGTTAAATGTATTGACATGGTGTACATTTCTCCTGAGTTCTCTATATTTCTATAACTCTCTGCTGCGTGTACTATCTTTCTCTCTGCGTGAGTCCCATAGGAAGCACATGAAAAATGTTTCACTGCTTCTTTGAAGTGCTGCTGCCCCTGTACAGCAGAGCAGAGAGGATTGTGGGAGAACTTGCTTCCTCTAAATGCTCTTTGCTCTGTTATGATAGTGCAGCACGTTAGCTTGATTCAAAACTCATTGAAGTCAATTGGCCTCAAAGGGGCAAGATGGTCAAGGTTGTAACTGCTGGGGCACTAGGAAAGCTGATCTTCACCAGATCACAAACCATCTTGGGTTTTTGCTTTTGTTTCTGTTTTCTCTTTATTTAACTGTGTGAGGAGGTTCCAGTTTTTTGCAGTTTTCTTGCTGTGGTTTGATTTGATTTGGTGTTTGTTACTGCGTATGCATGTCAGGTGAAATAGTCATTTTGAAACATGGGATGCTTAATATACGTGAAAACAGGCATTTTAATTAGAGTGGCTCCCCGGAACCTGCTCTGTTTAAAATGCCTCACCCCCAAGCACATTTATAGGCACCCTAGGCCATAGTTTCTCAACCCATGGTACGTGTACCCCAGGGGGTACGCGAGACACAAGCAGGGGATATGCGGGCGTGGAAAACCCCCACAGCGAGGGGGCACCGCCACTCCCCCTGCCGCTGCCAGGTTCACGTCCCGCCACTCGCCCCTACCCCCAAGCCAGCTAAAGGCTGCTGCAGGAGGTGGAGGGCGGGCACACAGATACCCGTGCACTCCCCACCGACAGGCAGGTAAGTTTTCTTTCTTTTTTATCCTGCCTGGGCTTTGAGGGGGAGGGGGGCAGACTGAGACCCCCAGAGTGTGGGAAGGGAGGGGCAGGGCGCTGCACACTCCCTCCTGCACTGTGGGGATTGGCCCAGCCCACCTGTGGCCCAGTTCACTGTGGGCGAGAGGGCTGGCAGTGGCACCGGGTTCTTCCCAGCACTTGGGGCAGGCTGCATTGATGGGAGAGGGGCTGCTGCCTGCCCACCCCAGCACCGCTGCTGCTGAACACGGGGAAACACCCTGTGCCGCTGTCAGCCCCCACCTGTAGCCAGCCTGGGCTCTGGGGCAGCTGCAGCAGGCAGCAGTCAGGCTGCAAACAGCTGCACCAGGCTCCACAGCCCCAGCATCAGCTCCATGCTGGCGGCAACTGCACGTGCGCCCCAAAGCAGAGAGTGGGTTTATCCCCGCTCTCTGCTCTGAGGCACCCATGCAGTCGCCACCAGCATGGAGCTGATGCTGGGGCTGTGGAGCCTGGTGCAGCTGTTTGCAGCCTCCCTGCTGCAGCTGCCCAGAGCCCAGGCTGGATACAGGCAGTGCTGGCAGTGGCACAGTGCTTTTCTGGGCTGTGGTGCCTCAGGGCCCACTCCCCTACTGTCTGCTCAGAGCTGCAGGATGCTGGAGCCTGGAGCAGCTCCTTTGCAGTCTCCTGGTTGTAGCCAGCCCAGGCTCTGGGTAGCTGCTGCCAGCCACAGAGCCCGGGCTGCTTGCAACAGGGCTTGCAGCCTCCCCAGCTGCCTTCTGGGAACAGCCTGGGCTCCATGACTGGCAGCACCTGCCTAGAGCCCGGGCTGGCAGTGGAGTGCCAAGCAAAATGGCCTCGCATGCCATGCTCGGAACATGTGCCCTGGGGGTTGCCAACCCCTGCCCTACAGACTTACCTCGCTGTGCCGCAGGCCTCTGCTTCTCCCCATCACCCCAACCCTTGCTGCAGCGGCTCCAGAAGCAGCCGACACCACCCGCCCGCACCCCCATTGC